TGTAATTTCCATGATAATTTATCTTGTTCATATTCAATTTAGTTTTTTTTTATTTAACTATAAATGTTTGATATAAGGATACACTCTAATGTATTCCTGAATAATACAATCTTATACACACCATAAAATAAATAACAATATACTTTTATTACTCATTTTTACTAAGCATATTTAGCTATCAACGTGATTGGCTACGAAAATCGCATTTACAAAGAATTGCCTAAAAGTATAGAACGAACATTCTCTCGTTGCAAAAGTTGAATTGAATTACAGATGAAGAACAAATCAATATAATCGTGAGAGTATCACAGAGAGATCTGATTCATAAATATTATACTTCATATTTTATACGTTCGAAAAATAATCTATTCTTTTTTACAGCACTAATACACGTAAGTGTCCACGTCAATAAAGAAAATTCATTCCTCAACTAATACTTTAAATTGTATCGTGAAACGGTAGAGAATATACGATTCTATTTCTACCACCATAAAGTTTAGACAAATATATATGAGAATATATATATGTATACATGTATCTCATTGTTATTTTGTCAAACGTTTAAGAGAAAATTCAGTTTGAACGTATAATAAATAACGCAATTTGTTCATTCGCTCATTCTTTTTTTCTCTCTCTCTCTCTTTTTCTCCCTAAAAAAACAAATATTCTTTCTGTACTAGCGCAAATTTGTCTGATTTAATTAATACATTCTATGCAATGAAATTCATACAAACTCTGAATCTATTTCTATGACATCCCTCATCATTTTCCTTAAGGGTAAGTTCATGCTCGAGGAAGAGACAATGTCAATCACAGTGTGTTACAGTGTCAAATAAGGTAACTACTATTCTCTAGCACAGTGAGATATTTGTCTAATAATTTTCCTATATCTTTAAAATTTTTTTTAACATCGTTAACATGTGACTGTCATGGAGGTCACCGACACGATCGGCACTACATTGCCGCGTCTCATTAACTTATATATTAGATGTAACTTTCTTACATACGACAAATTAAATATACAGTCAACAGAGAGCCAATAAAACGAGCTAACGAATATATGCACTGTAAATTGCATTTTTCACCGCATTTATGATTGCTTAAATTTTAGTCAATGCGTTCGCGACCACTGATATAGTCATTGCGCTTTATATGCTACATCGACGAATGTGTTGACCTATTGCGTTGCAATAATGTGTCTCCTAGACGGTTGCGTTTCTGCGAGCCAAACATGCGCGTTATTAATCACAAACTTGACTTGTGCTCGTTTCTATCAACGTCGATTAAACTTGAATTCAAGTTTAAGCTTTTATCGGACAAAGATTCGAAGAACTTGAAGTTAAGGTTTAATCGACGATGGATGGAAAAAGGCATTAATCTTGTTATTTTGCAATAGCGAAATCATCAAGAAAAAAGAAATTGTGCGAGATCGTGTAGAGCAAGAGTCTTAGCAAAATGCTTAGGAGAATGGTTGACTTGTAACGTTTAAAACAATGTTCTACATCCTACGTCTACTCCTAAAGCTTTGTCTAAGTTATTATTTTCTTTATTATATAGAGCAATTTGTCATCAATCACAAACAGAACAACTTTTTAATTCAAGACAGACACAAAACAGTCCATTGTGCATTACTTGAGATATAAAAACTCAAGGGATAAAACGTTATCTTGATCTCACAAAGTAGCCATCCGGCTAAAGTCCTAAATGTAAATAGAATTGTGATGTACTTTCGTTTTCTTCGAATGTGAACTTAGATGTCTACATCCTACGAGTTCATCGAATAAAAACACCAATGCAACGGGCTTAAGCTTTGGGATAATCAATGAGAATCAACGTGGCAGTCAACGTGTCGAATAAATATCGATATAATTATGAAACTATTTAGAAGTGCATTGGTCATCTTTGGTATATATATATATATATTTATATATATATATAATTATATATATATATATATATATATATAATTTTATCCAAGGAAACTCTCTCTCTCTCTCTCTCTCTTACTGATAGAGATACGCGGCTGTAATACTTCGAATACTTTCACTGCTCTAATTCTTCTTCACCGTTGCTCTCAATGCCCTGACTATGCACAACGGGCACAGAATCTCCGGTGTGGAAGTGCGAGAATACATATTCCCTAAGTATTGCGACGTACATGGAAGAACCAACGACGGGGACGTCAGCAGTTCGGTCTCCATTGTCGAGATTATCTCTGTGTTGTAAACAGACATCGGGAAGTGATGTCCACAAGTGAATATCATACTATCCTCCTCTGTCATGAGCAAACGATGCACAGCATCCGAGTCCTGTTGCAACATGGTAAGTTTCGTATAATATGCAGGATGAGCCACATGATATTCTCAGGATTGGGTAAATTCATTTTTACTTTTCACCAAGTTAAGTTAAAAGTTGCAAAGCTATGTATACAATATTTGTCTCATTAACTCTTTTAATCGTGGGTCAAATTTTATGCTGAATAAAGAAAAAGTAGTCTATTGTAAGAAAGTACCGAATGTTTTGTAGTCAGGATTCCGCACAAGAAAAGAATACTGGTTCTCGAAGAGGCAAAAAAATTTGGCTGGCATCTGATTTTTCATTTATAATATCGATAAATTATTTTAACTTATATAAAAACAAGTTTTGATAAGTTCGTAATTTATTAACACGTTCGCTACCAGGATCTAAGAAGAAAATCTTGCGCCGCAACCCAAGGTGTTTTTTGTTAGAATATGTCCCCAATTGACATGGATCTTTTTAGGATATATTTATAACATAAAAATGTAATAATCTCTAAACCAAGGACATCCTACATCTATTTTGTTTTTTAGCTCAATAATATTGATCATTTCCAAATTTATTGCAATACGTTATCATAAACTGATAAAGAATACGCATCACACATCTGCGGCGGTGGGCTCAGATACAAAAATCGGGACGCCGCATATGTGCGGCGGTGGTAGCAAACGTGTTAAGTTATTAACTTTCTTAACTTAACTTTTAACTGAGTGACTATTTATTATCCAAACCTGGATATTCTATATTAAAAAAATGTCTTAGTCGACAGATTACCTTAATATGCGCGAACAATCTAGAATCCTCCATTTCAGAAAATATCGTATTGATAATCCCCTCCATCATCTGCTCCGGGCTATTATTTCCGCTCGCCCCCGGATATCCGTTCAAAGGTGCGCCATAATTGTCGGCCATTAGACAGGAGAAAATTTTGATGTATTCGGGCATGATCTCGTCTGAAACGTTGCGATTGTTCGTTAGACCGATTGAATTCACGATATTTCGCGAGTTAAGATTTCTCGGGACAATAACCTTGATCTATATGCTGTAACAACAAGGACAGTACTTGAAGGCAGAACTTCACTGAAAACAAATCGACCACGCAGAAACTCTTGTCCTCCATGTTGCTGTACTTATTTGCGTCCAGGTATCTTCCTATCGCATTTTGACTGCAAAAAATGTCAGAATTACTCTCAATCTTATCCTATATGAACTTTGTCTGTCTTAAAGTATTGAGTTGGAAAGGAAATAATGCCGTAATTTTAGCTGAAAATTGAAGGAAGTTTTTTTTATATATTTAAAAACAATCAGTAATTTAACGGCTATTATTTTCTATAATCTTTTGCCATCTTTCGAGCAGCCGCATATTTCCGTGAACGTCTTACCGTTACGGACGTTTCGTTTGCGTCGCGCTTTTACGGAAGTAAAACAGTATCAAGCAACTTGAAATGCAGCTTGTTTTGCTGCATTTTTCTCTCGATCTCAAGTGAAGAGAAACCGACACAGGTCGCTGTGATTGGATGTAACTGGGGTGCTCCCGCGGCATCAACTTACCAAAACAGTAGCAATCCAAGCGGGTAATAAATAATATGTAAGTGTTCGAGGAAAATGTTCTCCAAACTCTGCATCGGTAAATTGTGCTCGACCCAGAAATCAATGGCGCTCTGCAGCAACTCGCACTTGGTAGTATTCGCTTCACTGCCGATGTTGCTCAGGTAAAACTTGAGCGCCTTGATAGTCTCATTGATGACGTAATTCCTCTGCGAACGCGACGACGCTCTGTCAGAAAGCACGGTCCTCTCTTTATACGCATTGTCGCGCTGACCTGATGGTTGATTGTTATTCACACTTGACATCGTGTCCGTGCGAGTTAGACTTTGCGCTGAGCTGTGTGCATCGTTCTTACACTGCGGCAGCAGATCGTTCTCGTTAAATATAAAATTCTCGATCCACTCTTGCTGCTCGTTTTCGTTCACGTTTGATTCGACGTCAGAATAATCCGCGTTTACGATCGCCGACGGGTCCTCGTTTCTCTGATTTCTGCACAATTCCTCTAAGCCCCCTTGACAGTCGAAAGTGTACAACTCTTGCGCGAGCGTCTGCAGATTATTCAACGACCTGCTCGTGGGAATCTTCGCCCAGCTTTTCGCCATGCTATCCTCCAAGGATTCCATGAGATTCTTCTCCGCTTGTTTGTTGAACAATTCAGTATTCTTCTTGATGTTGCGGGACGACACGGAATCCCTCGTTGCGTCCGCGTTTCGTCCCGTGATCCTGCCTGCGGGCTCCGTCGTCGTTGTCTCGTGTTGTTGCGTTTCCATCGTTAAATAATTCGCGGACGACTGAAGACTCAATTTATGCAACATTTTCAATTGGTAATTAAATGCGGGCAGGATATTGCCGTCTAACGCAGCTATTTTAGAACAAGCTTGATAATTCTCCAACTCGATGCACTAAAACAGAAGAAATTGACTTTGTCTTGAAGTTGTCAAGAAAGAACACATAAAGCCGATGAGAAACCAAAGCACGGATATTACAGAGCCATTTAATAATATTGACTTAACAATAACTTAATTCTCATGGTCTCGTATGTTCTCTTTTTTATCATTTTCGGAAGCAGTCATCTTGAAGTTGTTTTCAAGTAAAAGCGTTAAGAAACGCACTTATGAACTCTTATACCACCACTCTGTTATAATCTTGCAATTATACAAGGCGTGTACAATTAAAAATGGATTGGAACTTGAAAAATAGATGTGACTTAACGCAACGATCGACGAACCTTTTCCATGACACTGGTGGAGCAATACAAGCCGTAGAACTGTTCGAGAACATAATGGAGCGTCAGTTCCCCCGGCGTTTTCTCGATCACGCTCAAAGGACAAACGAATCCGGCGAGAGGAGACGTATCGTGGGTTTGGTAGGATATCACTGGGGTCGAGATGCCGGGTACTTGACTGGGAACGTCCAGAACCACGTGCATCGTATGGGGAAGTCGCACCACTCGCTTCGACGATTTCAGCAGCACGAGCTTCTCGTCGGTTTCGCGAGTCTCTCTCGCAGGGATACGGCCCAATTGCGCTCTGCTGTTGTTACCCCAAGCTAGCACCGTACCTCCTAGAAGATTACACGATACTTATACTTTAAAGGTTAATATATCTTGAGGATTATATATCAATTATATTCGTAACGAATTCGAGTTATATATTATATTCGTGAAAACATCGTGAATTCTCGAGATATCGCTTTCTTCGTAACCTGGTTGTATCGCGACCGTATAATCGTATCCGCAGGCGATCGCAACGGTGTTAATGACGGGATTGATTCTCTCTCTATTCGGAGCAGCGTGTTCCGTATTTGTCGACTTGGACGCGTCAGAGACATTGCCATTCGTCTCAGACACGTTCCCATTATTTGACGAATCGTTCGACTTAGCACTATTGTCCAAGTCCTGCCGATTTTGCACTCTCTTAAAATCATTGTGCCTAGGAGGTATTTGTGCAAAGATACAGGCTGAATTATAATACAAAGGCGTCGGAATTGACACGTCCCGTCTCATACCGTTACCTATTTGGCCGTCAAAATTACGGCCCCATGTATACAAAAAGCCATCTTTAGTTATCAGTGCGTTGTGATGACAGCCAGCTGATATCTGAAAAATCGATCAGAGGTTGTTTATTACCTATTTTAAATGAAACGAGAAAGACAGAGGAAGAGCAAGAGAAAATGGAAAAAATCAATAGTGAATTCTTCGGTTCGGTTGAAGAACGTTTAATTTCTTTAATTTAATATCGCTCTTTCATGGATCCAAAAAGTTGTTGATTTTTTAATAAACTTGTTCACAAACCTGAGCAATTTGACCCTTCACCAGGCTTGTATCCACTACGGATGGCGTTAGGTGTGTTTGATCCTCTTCGATGAAACCGATGTTTAGATTCCTCAAATTTGCGTTTTCGGACAATTTCCTTCGTATCTCTGCGTCGGAAGTAATCGCTTCTGTTTGTGCCGGCTTGGTTTGTACGTCATCTTCCAGGAACTCCTTCACCTCTTCATCTAGATTCAGGCTGCTGTTTGGCATTTTCTCCGAGTGGTCCGAAGCCTTGTTCCTTTTCTCACCAGCGTCTTGTTGCTCCAGTATGCGACTCTTCTTTTGCGCTTGCGCTTGTAATCTGAGAGCTTGGGGACTTGCACCCCATGTGTACAACTTGTTCGTATTACTGACAACTAGCTGTGAACGCAGAAAGTGTATACATGAGACTGTCGTTGTCTATTCAAAAATGGCGGAAGCTTCAAAAGCTCGTTACTCGTGTGACGACAATGAGAAGAAGTAAATCTCGTTTACTCGCTTACATTGTGAAAGTATCCGGTACTGATGAGCCTGATTCCTTCCGGCAACGATACCTTCATCGGGATCGAGCTTTTGTTGTTACTACCTATTCCTAATTGGCCCAGTACGTTACATCCGAAAGCGTACACCACGCCGTCCACGGACAATGCCAAGGTGTGTGCATAACCGGCGCTGATGTGACAAACCACGACGCCGAGCAGAGACGTGACCAAAGTCGGTATACTTTTCTCGTCGGTACTACCATGGCCCAATTGGCCGTGGACGCCCCAGCCCCACGTGAACACTCTACCATCCGCAGTCAGTGCTATCGAATGATACTGCCCGGCCACAGCGTCGACGATTATCTCTTGTGCCAGTGAAGTGACCAATTCTGGACTCGAACACTGCAACACCTTGCCGAGACCCAACTGCCCGAACTGACTGGCCCCCCAAGAGTATATCCCATTGTTGGTGACCGCTAAAGTGTGACAGTGTCCGCACGATACACTAAACACTTGTATTTCCATGCTCCGGAAAAAGCACAAAGCGTGAGGTGCGCCGTACCGCAGCACGCACGGGCCAATACCTGGTGATTATTGCAAAAAGTTGAGCGAGAGAAGTTCGATGGGAAGGAAGGGTCAAGGGAGACTGTGCATTACCTAAGCAACCTTGCACCGAACTACCCCAAGTGTAGACATTAGCGTTCCTAATGAGAGCAACGTGAGAAAATCCAGTGCTCAGTACTCTCTTTTTAAAGTTAACATGCGGAGTCATCTCCAAGTGTCCCTGCCCGGGAGATTTAACATTTTGTAGTTGCAATCGATAATAAGAAATTATTTTCTGATATGCTAAGTGAGAAAGTTCAGGAGTTACCTTGCTTATTTCTGGTAATTGCTTATCATACAGAAAGATAGGTTTGCAGCTCGGATTTAATACCCGTTTCTTATGAATAAGTGTCAATAGGACTAATATAAACGTTTCTATTATCTCCTCTATAAGCGTATTCGACTGATCCTGCAAAATGTTTTTCGTTATTAAGAAAATGAATAAACACACAGGAAAACATATGTCAGGCCGAGAATTTTTCGAACTACCCTCGTATGAAATACATAGATGTGTACAATAATTGCATTCACGGCGTCCTTAAATTCACGTCTGCGCGGATTTGCGATTATTCGACTATTTCCATAATTTCTATTTGACGACTTGAATTTAAGACATACCGCGCGTCTAACTTATTACTCACAATAATATCCGTAACGTCTATAGGATCACACTGACTAGATCGTCGACTATGAGATGTCACTTTATGGCGTTCCTTACACTTCATTAGCATAGCTCGTAATACTGGATTCGTTGGATCGTACAGTGTTACTAATCTCTACAAAAAAATATTTCGACGTGTTAAATTTCATTTGCATAATCGCTTGAAGATCGATTTTCGTGTTGTCAGATTATAACGACTAACAAAAGTGTGAAACGAAGGTCTCTCGAAAACACCGTAGAGTTAAGATTTCTCACCTGAAGCACAAAAATTTGCGAGTCCCGCAGGCTATTGCGTATGAATAACATATGGGACCTAGTTAAATCGTGGTTCAATAACATCGCTTGCATCAGACCAGATTCACTTAAACATATGAGCAAGCCATCTGAAATGCAAATCTGTATTAAATTCGGCACGTCACTTCAGTGCTACACGACTGCTCGTGACTGCCTGAGAAGTGTGCATTCACACGTGTACACGACTATGTATATGTACACATTACATGATTTTGGATGAAAGTCGTTTATGCCAAACGTTTGCACCGCCTTCATAAGAATATCCAACATCTGGCCGTACAGACTCCTCTGCGTAGCTAAATGATGCAACACTTCCCAGAGATAAGTTTGACCAGCTATATTGATAGCCAACAATTCGTCATAAAACGTATTCGTAGATAAAAAGTATCTGTAACATAAAAATAGGGTATACACTGTATCAGCAAGATGAGATATACAAAAGAGTGCGTTGAAATATCTTCGATAATCTCCAAGATATAGAAGTATGTTGTTTCAAACGATGGGATTGCATTGTGAGTTACAACTTACAAAAACTCTTTATAAATTGCTTTAGATTGCTCGGACCAAACCCTTAGAGTCATTTCGATAAAGGCGAGCACACATAAATTGGACAGATGTATCCTTGTGGCGATATGCATCTCGATAATGGCTGGTGTTAATAAGCAGTGAGTAAGGCAACTCAATAGTTCTGAGGTATGACCAACTGACGCGAACTTTAATACACTCTTCAATAATTTACACTGAAATAGAGGTAATAAAGAGAAGATTAGTATCAATCACAATTTAAGTATTCTCGACGAATGGGATCTCGTATGTAGTTTATATATCTTGCAAAACTTAAAATAGCTGGATCTTCACCTTGGAAATTTTGTAAGAGGCTACTGCACGTGAGAATTCTTTATTCGACAGAAACATATCGCCGGCATACTCCAAAAAGTGTTGTCCGTTTAGTCCAAAAATTGTTGCTAATTTTCCTGCTTTCTCCAGTTCATTTTTCTTCAATACCAGCTCCATGAAAACCGACAGGAACGATTTCCTACGATAAAAAATGGATTCAATGACCGAAATTGCGTAATTTATTCGGAGAAGAACCTTAAGGGTACTGACCTTAAAATAACTTCGTATACGCAACGATTCGTAACAATTATGCAGGCATCCAGAGTGGGTATTTCTACATTGGCGTCCTTTACATTCTTCGTTAAAGTACATTTACTCTCAATTTCTTGAAAGACTTTTTTCGATATCACATTGTTAAACTTTGTTACTTTATATACCGCGCGTATTACTTCTTTGCTGCTCTTAAATGAAAAAACTCCGATTACAGACTCGGAATTAAATTCGCTGTCTCCATTTATATGAATCTCAGACAATTGGTCGGATATTATGTATATCACATGTTGACTAATATCAGTAACAAAAAAGAATTTGTGCGCTAGTAGAACGGTTTCGCAATCGAATACTTTGTGTATCGATAAAGGTACCACTGCTAAATCTGGACCATGTACCTGAAATAAATAATCTATATATCTATTTCTATATTACTGGAAAACAGATCAGCCAAACATAATCAGAATGTCATTCAATATTAAAAGTTTATTCAGGTATATTCTTATGCTAATTTATTATATTGTGAAACTTTTGTCTTACTGTGATATGACTGGTAATAGGATGGTAACATGTATACAATTGCCGACCTTCTCTGTCATATTGCAAAGAGAGAAAAGTATCTTTCAGTATCGGTTCTGGACCAATAAGACCTAACTTAGATTCTGACGATGTTTCTGCATTAGCGGAAATTCCACTACCATTTAATTTATTCGTACTATCTGTAACATTAATATGTATAGTCACTACATATACATATAATTTGAATTGTTAATATAACATTCAATATCTGATAAACAGAATACTAAAACAGAGGTGAGCATATACATACAATTGAGATAATTATTGTATACTTACCATGAGATTGTAAACTATTCTCTTTCAACGTTTGATTTTTAGTTTCAATCAACTTCTGCTTGAGAATCGCCAACTTTTCGACAGAAAGCTGCTTGAGTTCTTGTAACTTAGACTTATTAGGAATAGAGACTTCTACGTTATCATAAATAGTGCCATTTAAATTCACATCACTATGAGACTCCTTGTTTTCAGTATTGCGTAAAAAATTATACGTGTATTGTTCCAAAATCAAACGCCACTGTTGCTGAAGTTTATTAGTTATCAAGAGAGACGTGCCCTCATTGCTTTCACTTTGGCAGACTTGTAAACTGTTAATACTTCCACTGATGTACGTTATACCTGCTTGTTGACCATTGGAGAGATTTATAAGTATAATTGCTCCACACTCGGTTCCTATGATACCTATGTCGACAGACATTTTTGAATCCTTCCACCATATAATAGTGGTTGGTCTGAAAATGTAAAAATAGAATAGTTATAAATCCTGTTTTTCTATAATCATATTAAGAGATTAACAAAAAATATATAAATTTAATTCTAACTTAATGTACCAGAGACTCAAGCTGAACAAATATATGATTGTTCAAGTATCAAAAGTATATTCATTCTTCATAATTAATTATTACATATAATTTTGTTATTTATATGAGACAAGTACCTGAGATGAGAAAGTTGAGAATTTATAAAAGGGATATAAGTCACATCGTCGGTTTTCCATTTCTTGTCGATAGCTTGACTCTCTCCAACTAGAGCTAAGGCAGGAATTATATACAAGGAACCATCTAATGTTACACACAATAACCAAGCACCGCATGGATCAAAACAAAAAGCAGCAATTTGTTTATGCGGTGCTTGAAACCAAGGTATCCTTTTAATCACAGGTAAACAAGAAGGTTCTCTTTTCAAATAGAGAATAATGTCAGAATTGTTAGTTGCCAGAGCTAAAAACAATTTCCTTCCGAGTTTGCATTGCACACTATGCTCTATCTCAGTGGTTTTAATTAAACATTGCAATTTAAATAAATTCTCATTTGTCATTAATGTGCTAGGATCCATCATGTTCGACCTGTCGTTTCCTGAAAATGGTAAACATACTTAATGTAACAATTATTCGCAAAAATATATTACAAGTGTTAATCTATTATTATTCATAAATGCGATGTAACCTAATATTAACATTAACAATCCTTCGTAATGTCAAATATGTCAGTCACGGAGCCAGTTACAAAATATACATACCAAATTTGAGTAACGTTATTAATTATCGTTATTGTAAGTGTCAGGAGCTAAGATAAGTCATAGGCGGTACACATATTATGCGCAATATATTTTAATATTGCTACTGCTATTATATTTTCCTAAACGTCAGACTTGGAAGGTTGTTCTTGTTCTCAATTATGGTTGCGGACAGCTCAACGGCTCGTTTCCATCGCCAGTATCGAGATTAGTTATGACAATAAATCAAGTTTATACACGCTCTACCGAGGCGGAACGACTTAACAAAAAAATATACGGTTTAGCAATGAACAAAGGCCCCGCGAGCACGCGCATAAAACACGTAAGGACCGCTCGACTGTTCTCGCGAGACTCGACTGAGTGATGGGACGAGCAGGGGGTCCGAACTCCCGCCTTGTAAATGTCCTCGCTTACATCTAACGCCATCTGCAATAATCCCCGAATACGGCCGAACTAAATGGATGACGTCATGAGAAACGGGATGCATATTATGTACAACAGTGTGTGGTATATATGCATGCACATCCCCACTCCTCCAGACGTCACTTATTTAGTCGGCCACATCTGGAGCCAAGCACAGGTAGCGTTGAAAACTGCGTCCTATGGCAGCCAGGCTTTATAATCTGAAAGTGTAAAAGTAGTTTTCATTATGCTGCGCCGCTAGCGTCGCATGTCTATAGTCTTTCGTTCGTTAATCTAAGTGAGTTCCACTTAACGCTTGCTACGATCGCGAGTATCTTTCTATCCTTGTTTCTCTTGCTTATTGACCCCTGCCTTTCTGAGTGCCGTTGTCGGTCCACAATAGGTATTTTAAGCCTTAAGCTTTAAGAAATTGACCAATCACAGTTAATTATTCTCCTCATATTCGACTGTGTTTGGTTCAATTTTTTAAAATTTAAGGCTTAAAATACCTGTTGTGGACCGACACTTATAGCGCCGAGTAGAGTCGTTGTCTACCAGCAATTGTGATTCTGATGTCATCGTTAATGACATGATGCCAATGGATTCCCGACTATTTTCCAGTGCGACCAAGTGCGACGTGAGCTTATTCCTACATCGCAAGATCTGATGATTCCTGTCGTCGAAACAACACCGGTTCCTGGCTGCCATAGTCCAATTTTTACAAGAGCGAATTTGGATCCTCTGTCCTTTTTATTCCACCTATATATATATAATACTACACTGTACCACATATTTTTTTGTAAACTTAATTTATCATGAACCTATTTTGAACCTATCTGGCATAGGAGACAGGCCTTAGGTTAGTCCATAGCCATAACTGAGAAGAAGATGACAGATACTAACATTTGGCGTAGGAGGCTGGACGATAAACGGCCCATAGCCATAATTGAGTGAAGTGATTGATTCGTTTGAAAATCCGTTTGTTAGATGTAAACATTCACGAAGTGTATTATAATTTCGTTAATTGTCAATTGACAAGGATGGCAGTTACTATTGGTAAGATTTGTTTTCTTAATATTTTATTTATTCGTTTTCTTTACTCATTTAACAAATTAACTTTGAGAATGCAACGAGCAAAAATTAAAATTCATGATTGACCAATACTTGCTAAATTTTGATTTGTATTGCAGAGTCTGTGATATATTTGTGTCTCGTGGCAGTTCTCTGGGGCATGACAAATCCATTTATGAAGAAAGGTGCAGGAGGCTTGGAGAATGTCAAGGCCACATCCATTTATGGGCAATTTATCAAGGAACTTGTATTCCTTGCTACCAACGTAAAGGTTTGTTTCATCATGAGTAATAATTTCCTTGTAAACCGATGTTGTAAATGGTGTTTAGAATTGATTTTCTTCCTTTATATTTCAGTATATGCTGCCCTTTGTTCTCAATCAATGCGGTTCAGTGCTGTATTTCTTAATTCTACAGAATACTGACATATCTCTAGCTGTGCCAGTTTCAAATTCTCTTACTTTTATATTCACCGCAATCACAGGCTGGTTCTTAGGTGAGCAGAAGGTACATAAAAGTAAGTAAACATAAATAACTTTCAAACTTTTCCACCAGGAAAAATGTTACAATCAATCACTTTAATAATTTTCCTTTTAGATGCATATATAGGAATGATATTTATATTGTGTGGAACATCATTGTGTTGTTGGGACAAACTATATAAAATTATGGAATGATGACTTTTCTATGGAACAGAATTTCAATATATTTGAGATTGCAATCAAATGTACATAGCTCCTTCTATCATTTTGCCTTCCAGTCATCTATACACTATATCTGTCTATCCGCAACCTGCCAATTCATTCTTCCATCTAACTGATGAGTAGCACACACTTGCGCATGTTTAACATGCTTGTACGCACGCATGTGCACACACACACACACACACACACACACACACACACACACACACACACACACACACACACACACAAAATGATTAACAATTCATGTGATATCCTTTTTATAAAACTAAACTATTATGTAAAATTTGGATTCTCATAGTTTCATTAAGCTTAATATTATAGTTACTATTTGAATCTCGTTAACGGAGAGAAGTTTCAGAGAGAACAAAGAAGGGAATTAATCAATAGATTACTTATTACCTGTTCTATAATTTTGATCAAATCTTACACACGAAACATCTATGTATGTAACAGAGAGATGGTCCACCATCTCCCTGTTTGCATCTCCTGAGATTTCCTTATAGCAGTATATTACCATATCCTATGTCATCGTCTCTAGAATTTGATTCGACTTCTCAACGCTTCCCTTACAAGTTTTACTGGATTTAATTGATATTTAGAGAAGTGTTTAGTGACAATTAAAAATGTTTTTTATTTATTATGACAGACAATTATGACAATTAAAATGTTTTTTATACATGACAGAGATTCATGAGTTATACATAGAATATTTTATTTTTAGAACGTACATACATTTAGAACATAAATTTAGAACAATAACATTAAACATCAAGACCTATAAGTCCTGGTCTACAATAGGTGCTTTAAGTTCTAAATCTTAAAAAATTGACTAATCACAGTCGAATGTGAGGAGAATAATCGACTGTAATTGGTCAATTTCTTAAGGCTTAGAGCTTAAATTCTCATTGTAGACCCTGCTTAAGGGACAGAAAGAATATATATAAGTTATAGAATATATAGAATATATATTAAATCGCGTTATATGCGTTAAATATCGATACATTAATCGTATCGTTACAATATGAATAATGATACAATTTAACGCACATAACGCGAATTTACAAATTACATTAAAGGGGTTTATATATATTACGAATTAAGGGGGTTTTCTAGTTTTGAGGCTTCAACAAATCGATTTTTTCCTTCTTCAAGGTCATGAACGTTTTGTATAACATTCAAAACGAAACTAACGGTCAGAGGGGAAATAAATCCTGTTCCATAGAAACGAAACATTCTAGAAACATTTGTTTAAAGATTGGAGGGATTCTCCAATCGCTTGAAAGCACAGAACATTATAGAATGAAGTTTTTGAAGAAGAGGAAAGTTGCCTTTATGGCCTGGAAAAAAATTTATTTTATTTTTTTCGAAATATATGTATATATGTATAATATATATTGTTCTACAACAATAACACTAAACATCAATCTAGTCCTAATCCTACAGGTATGGCTTGGTTTCACAGAAAGATTATATATGAGTATATATTAAATTGTGCGTTATACAGCGACTTAAATCAGCTATTCCAGGAACATAAAGAGAATCCCTTTATGTTCCTGGAATAGCTGATTAAAGTCGCTACATAACGCGCAATTTAATGTGTACTCATATATAATCTTTCTGTCCTTCAACTTTATGCCATCTTGATATACTAAACATCAAGACACATAAGGCTACTAATGTCAAAAATAAATACATAAATAGACGTTTTAAGCCTTAAACCTCGAGTATTTCTTAAGGTTTAAGGCTTAAAACATCTATTTATATATTTATTTTTGACTTTATGTATTAAATAAATGTATTAAATTTATGTATTTATTTTTGACATTATTGTAAGCTAGGACTAAAAGACCAATCACAATCGAATTATAAAAGAATAATCTATTGTGATTTGTCAATTTCTTAAGACTTAAAACACTAAAGCTTAAAACACTATTGTAGACCTAGCCTTATATGCTTGATGTTTAGTATCTCAAGATGGCGTAAGGTTGAAGGACAAAAAGATTATATATGAGTATACATTAAATTGTGCATTATGTAGCGACTTTAATCAGCTATTCCAGGAACATAAAGGGAGTCTTAATTTTTATGCATAAAAAAATTCCTAAAAATATGCCTGAATTCGCCTCTCAAAACCAGAAAACCCCCTTAAAAGACTAGCATAAATGGCCGCCTAATTTAGGCGCGGGATATTTTACTTTTTATATTTAACCATCCTGCGCCTTTATTCGTATTGCGCGGTAAAGATGTGGATTTATTAAGCTGCTTGGAGGCCTTGGTGGCGTGTGGCGTTGTAATGAGTGAGTTGGTCGATAGACTTTTATTCTTCTCCTCCGGTTTACGGCTCATGGTACCTGCGAAACATTCATAGTTGTCATTTATTAACCATCATAACGACGAAGACGGATAATTTCGATCGATATCGCATAGTAGTATTCAAACACTATAAATTTTTATATTTAAAAATATTTTAAATTCAACATATACTTAAAAATTAACGACGCATATTTAACGATTCAACACATTAATATTCATTAATTCAAAGTACCAACAATTATTATCCTTATTATGGGATTTTTATTATATGTTTTACTGTATCGAGGTTATTATAGCTCGTTTAGACGCTGAATAGCTGAATTCCTTCGAAATTTTTACCGGTGAAAATTAATTGATAAAACAGAAGAGAAAAATGTATTGGAGCATTATAAATTCCTGTAGTACGCGTTTTGTTCCCTTTTATTTGTTAGAGACAATCGTTGATACGATTTAATTAGAGAAAGCGTTCACCTGTTTTTGAGACGTCTTTGTCCTTATTACGCCGAGCTTCCTTTCCTCGGCGATTGAGGGTCTCGTGACTCCGTTGTCTGCGTCTCGTGGTCGATTTCGTGTACTGCTGCTGCTGATCGTAGTTGATTTCGAATGGTTCTCTATAGTGTCGTGGCTTCCACGGCGCAAGGACGCTCACGCTTCTCGACACTGTTCTCGTGTGTGGTTGCAACGGTCGAGAAAACTCTTCGCGACTCGCCGCCCTGCGTTGTTCGTTCGGACCCGGTATTTCTCCGACTGGAATGCAGATATCGGGCAATTAGAGTGCGGTTACGCTTGACAACATTTTCCGTACTTTCACCGCGGGTCTAGCGTTATTCAACTCGTTAGTTAAATAACTTTAAACAACCGGTTAGGGAGATACGAATTTTTCTTGCACTGCTTCCCCAATGACGCAAATGCGACCGGTGTTGCGAAATTTCAAACGTTCGACGAATAATAGCTGGTTTCGTAATCTGCATTTATTATTTGTAACGATAGCGTAGACTGCGTTTATTATTTGTTACGATAGCGATCTGACCTCCGATCAGATACTACTTGTATCAAGTTAATCGTGTTACCATTATCGTGTAAAATTGTATCGTAATCATCAGGTAAAGGGGAAAAAGAAGCAATAAAGCAATCGTACCTGTAGCAGCGTGGAGATATACAACAGATCGCAGTGATCTTTGTGAATTTTGGCTCCGCTGACTACTGTCGCCCGTCGTGCTCTCGCCCGAGGACAATGCGCTCTCGGCGAGCCTTGAGGATTTCCTCATTGACGTAATACTCAAATCATGCCGACCCGTGGCATCACGCCTCGAAGACGCATGATTGTCGGCGGATTTGCTCCTGAAAGAGACAAAGGGGATAATTAAATTATAAGTAATGTTGTTGAAATTTTATTTTCGTTTGATTTAGCGTATATACAATTGCATTTTATTTGGAAACATCGTTTATACTCTATCTGTCAAATAATTTCAATAGACACGGTCCGTTATGCAATTCACAGAGCATACGAGATGAACGAGATAATAACCGAAATAAGTCCGAAATAGATCCGGTCATTTTTAAATTAACAGTTTTGATTAGTGATTCGCAACTATTAGATATATACGGAATTTATGGATAAGTCCAGTTTTATTTTGATAAAATGAAATCATGATTTCAGTCGCCATATTGAACCCATTAGTTTTGAATTTGAAAAATTTCAACTTCATAAGCAGTGACTTTCATCTAGCTGTGAATATTCGTAAATAATGACCTGAAAAATCGCTAAACATAAATTTTTAATAACATTCAATTTTTTTAAAAATCCATTCTTTGCCGGCTTAAGTATTTTTGCGAAATTCAGCTTGCCAGAATCAAGAGATTAGTAACAAAGATCAAGAAGTTAATGACAAAGATCTGAGCTTTATGGCGCTCGGTGGATAAATGTGAAATCATTCTCGTGTAAAATATTTAATTTATTGCGCGTTGCCACAGTGCATGCATGGCATGTCGGCATTTACCTGGTCTCTGGTACTGGTCTCTGGTATCGGCGTTCTCTGTTGGACGAGACGGACTCCTGATCTGTATCACCGAAGAAGCGGAGATTCTTTTGCACGGAAACTCGTTCGGGCGCGGAGGAAGCTTCCTCATCCTCAGTGCCGGTCGTCAGGATCTCGCTCTCGGGTATTCTCGGCTTTTTATCCACCAGCTGAAAAGTTACCGGTACTTCATTATTCATAATCTCGGCGCACCGAATATAACAGCGCAGATATTATTTCTCCGTATTAACAATTACGCCCGCTTATTCCAAATATCGATGCGCCGTACGTTGTAATTTCGCGAACGGAAGAAGAGCGGTTTTCGCAAGTGCGAGATAGATTGAAACGTATCGCTGTAACTGGCATGTTATTCCACGCTACTATGTAATTTTCATAGTTAAGCGGGTGATACTCGGCTTGAGTTTCTCAACATTCAGGGGCGGCCTCGCGGCCGATTAACTTTGACTGCAGATTAACTGATTTTTCCCTCTCATCCGCGGTTATGCTTCTTCAGTTTTATGGCTAGCCTTAGCGGAAGGTTCTATCTATAGACTGTTGAAATGCGCAAAACGAAAGTCACGCGTTTAACAGAGAAGTGCAAATTAAAAAGAGAATAAAGAAGCGAATAACCTATTATACCAGCTCCGAGATAATCCTATTATCTGCCGGGCGGTAAAGGATTAAAGGCGCAACAAGTTACTAACGGGGGAATGCTCAGAGGAGCACGCAAATCCGACACGACGCGAAATGGTAACGCAAGCCTCTGCTCTTTGCCACTCGTTCAAAACGAGCGGGGAAAGAGCGAGAAGGCGAAAAGAAATACGTATATCTAATTGTCCTCTATCGACGGCTGCTGAATTTTTCGGAGTCCAGCCACATACCACGTCGTCGTCGTCGTCTCGAGAAAATCGCGCGCATACACAAAGCCGTATTCTTCCCGCGGTCCGTAAAAATCGCGGCCTCCCTCCATGGCTGCATCCACGGCGCCTTCATGAGTCATGATTCTCCCCGGGCCGACTCATCCGATAGATCATCGTCCACGGCGAGATTCATGCGCACGCAATCATCTCGAACGAGCGCGCGCGAGCGGGCGGGCGGGCGAGCGAGTGAGTGCGAGCGGCTTTTGCGGATGCGCGAGCGAGCGTATACGCGATGCTCGCTCATCCGCGCGGGCGAGAGAGAGAAAAAGAGAGGCGTCTCTCCTCTCCGCGGCCCAGGAGGGAAGAGATCGGTGGAATCGGAACCTGACAAAGATTATTCTCGCGCGTCGGACGATGCTCGGGTTAGGGCTAAGCAACCTTCCTGATCGGCACTTAATCTCGCGATTAAATTAAACCACAGAGTGCGGAGTTAGTTAAGCATTTAATCAAATCGGTAATTGGAGGTTGCGCTGCTCTAATGGCTCCGCAGCGACTCCGCGCGTTCTGACTGATGAATGCACCGACGAGCTGATGGTGTGCAACATATAAATGCGGCACGATCCGAGAGAGAGAGAGAGAGAAATCGTTTCTTATCGGATAATACCCTCGAAAATATCCACCTGCCGAGTGTCGCCACGTTTTCTGATGCATTATTAGGCGATTTCCCGCAACGACATTAAATAGATCATCGAGTACGTGATCCTCGTACTCACGCGATACGCACGATATGCGTTCGGAGAGACCGCTAGTTTATTAAGCTTTCGACACCTGTAAATTCTTCGCATTGAAAGTTTCGTAATTGTACACGCGATATGTCGAATTGATCGCGAGTCACACAACCTTTTTCTATTGCGGGATGACGCAGTCGTGGCGCGAAAATGAAAAAAACCTTGAAAATAATATTTTTCTATATCAACTGCTATTAGTTCGTTATATGTTTTTTTTAAATACATATTTTTTGCAAAAAACGTTCTATTTACCCAGGCATACACGTGACAATGTGCTTCTCTATACATCTACGGAATCAAAGTTAGGTTTATTTTATACCTTTATATTTAAACATAATAATACTGCGGGCAGCGCGTGGAAATAAAGCTAGAATAAAGCCCGGTAGAGAACGAACGTATTGGGACTTACGAGTCGGCACGGTGGCGAGGAGAAACGCTAAATAGATCTCATCGTCGAAGTAATAATCCGATTAGAGCTGGACGGATGGTAGTTCCGATGGAAATTCGTGCGAAGCGCGGAAGTAGCCCGGAAGCTTAACCTCGCACGATTTACCGGACACCTGCCCGAATCCGCACATTCGACTCGGGGAATAACGAATGCCCGTGTCACTCGCTAAACGTTATTTATGTTAACCGCCGTTGCGCCAATCACGCCCGACCGCCGCGGCCTTCCATATCGTAGGTGCGGCGCAGCCCTCGCGGGGTCCTAGACCAACGGTCGGGGCCCAGCCCCGGAAAAACTCGCTCCGTGGAAGTGGAGGACGCGCGATGTGCGCTCGCTCGCGAGCAGGCAGGCAGGCAGACGCGTGTCCGTTTCATTCCCGACGACGTCCACGTCGTCGTTACTATTATCATCGCGTTTTGCATCATCACTATCATCAGCGCTGCCACCTCCGTCATTTACTCTCGCTCTCGCGCATGCATAATGCGCCGCGAACGGCTCCGGGCGCTTATCACGACGACTCTACCCTGTTTATTCATCGGTATTCCGCAAAAGACCGCCGACGATTGTAATTGCCGTTCCGAGGCCGCCGTGGCGCATAGACACGCAGCACCGAAACTGCGAACGGGAACTGCCTCGTCCGCTCGTTGGCATTAAGAGGACCCTTTTCCTGGTCTTGAGGGATCGAAAACTCGATTTTTCCTCTTTGCATTTTCACAGCCTTTTATGTGTCTGGAATAAGTTTGTGAAAGGGTCTTGTAAAATTCAAGATATTCTCAGAGCGATAAGATTTTGAATAGGGGCGCGGATCAGCGTTTCTGACAATTGACGTGTTGTCTGAACACAACGAATTAGAGATAATTTGGGAATCGCGAGTTGACAGCGAGTTGCGCGTCAACGGAGCCCCGTTCTTTCGGGTCATATGCCGGGGTTACCGAACGGTCCGAGAGCTTTCGATACGCAATACGAATACGCAACGCGCGCCGCTCGTATATCCGCTGCGTATAAACTCTTAAATGATTCACAATGAATAGCCCATATCGCGGAATCATCTGCATAGTACAAGCACGGCGCGCTTCCCTGGTACTCTCCATATATACGAGCAACAATATCCCGTGTGCTTTCCATAACGAGTCGCGGCGTGTACCGACGACGACGATGACGAAGAGAAGGAAGAGGGCGACCATGACGACGAAGACGAAGAAGAGGTCGAGTGATGCTGAGAACGAGAAAAAAAATCAACGGGCCCCCGAGTACCGAGGGGGGAAGCCCTAAGGACATTATGACCTACGCACCGCCCCACCAACTTTTATACCACCGCCCGCTCGTCCTCCTCCTCCTCTTCTTCTTCTTCTTATGCTTCGTCTTCTTCTTCGTCCTCTCCTCCTTCTTCCCCCGTTTCTCTTTTCCTCTTTGCCTACTCCGTCCGGGGAATGCGTTATGCGCGGCTACTCCCTTGCTCTCTGTGACTCGGCGTGGGCCGTCGAGATTGGGCTAGGTCGCTTACGTACCTTAAGTGCACGCCACGCAGCATACGCACATGCGCACGGACAGTACGTGTGTCGTTGTATGCGTACGTGCGTGCGTATATATGTGTGTGTGTGTGTGTGTGCGCGTGCACAGTGCGTTTGTGTGTATACGTCGTGTAGCACGAATGCATCCCTGGCGCATAACTCTGCAACATTAAACCGCCCGCCGTAGGTCACCGTAGATTACGCATAAATTCCGAAGGATGCGATTTACGACGTTAACTGGCATCCCCCTCCCTCCCCCGTCACTCGACCTTTTGCCAGATTTTCTCCTATCGTTCGTGCGAGAGGCGCCGGTACCCAAAGAAAATCAATCACGGGCGGACGTTTCGCGCGGCTCTTGTTCCTGTTTCACAGCTCCTCGGCGCTTTCCCGCGTCTTTCTTTACATTTAATATTAATGAAGTATTCTCGTAAGGAGTTTTTCTCTTGCGCATCAAAGCGAGCATTGTATTCGTTCGACGCGTCATCGCATTGTATTAAATTCCGACGTGGAGTGCTCCATGTCGAGGAGCAGTTATAAGATCAAAGCGAAAACCTGTGAAAAAATTTACGTTCCAATTAACAACGATGCGGGGGAGAGCGACTCATTACTTGCGGGGTTTTCGGCTGGCGTGTAAGGTAATCGGTAACGACGGTTTTTTTTGTCTACTATTATTCATATCGTGCGATTAATTTGACAATTTTCGGGACGTCGGCTTTTCGAATTTTATATTTTTTTCTTTGTAGAAAAAGATCTCAATTCGTGCGATCGAACGGGGATCAGACGAGAACTCAACGACAGGAAACGATATTTCTGTCAGCGGAAACGTTCATCTGGGCATTGCGTTCATTAAAACTCGGTTGGCAGGACAATTGACACAAATGCAAATTGCTACGGGAATCTTTTTGTCCCTACGATAGTTTTTATCAAGCTCCCGGGCAACTGAGAATTCAGTTGCGCAAACGGAGTTTTCTCTTTCGAGTATGTGTCTCTCATATTCTTGATCACGGCGCGCCGAGCGCATTGGTGCATTGTGGTGTGTTTCGCCGAGTTGATTCAACCGTGAACGCGACCGAGAAAAACAGATAGGTCGCGTTGTATATACTATGTCGGTAGCGTGAAAAAAAAATGTAATAGGAAGATATCCCGGCGATGTATAAAGGGACATTACTGTAAAATCTGTAAAGCCGCAAAATAAACAAACCAGGGAATAATGAGTATCAAAGCTCGCTCGCTGTATCGAAACACCGACAATGGTCCGCCGATGTATGTGTACATGCCACTGCGTAACCGTGGTTAAACACAGAGAAATCAGGAGAAAAAGAGAGAATGAGAGAGAAGAAGAAGAAGGAGAGAGAGAGAGAGAGAGAGAGAATGAGATCCACGACAGCACAGTCGACCCACGTTGGAAATAACTACGGAGAGGAAAGCAAAAGGGACGAGAGAAGGAGGAGGACGCGCCGCAAGAAATATCCACCTTGAATATCGCCGGCGGAGGACGGGATGCGGTTTGAGCAGGAATGCGCATCTGGAGAAGGTCGCGCTTTCATGCGTTACAAGAAGTCCGTT